GAAATCCCTCAGGAAACTGTTTCTATCCACTTTATGGGCCCCTTCCCTGCAAAAGCAGCTAAAGGATCCAGTGTCCCCGAGACTCCTGCCAGGAATACGTCCCCTGAAAGAGCAGAAGCAGCACAAGGTCAGACCTCATTAACATATCACCCAGCTCAGGACCTCCCCTGTTCACAGGTTCAATTGCACGTGCACGTTGGCTCAAAGTCATAGACACACACACCTGTTCATTCGACATGCATGCTCAAATTCACATGCACACACTCACAGGCACATGCATATGCACACGCACGCACCTCCCCCCGTGACTGACACAAATGCAAGCCCCACTTATATTCCCACGCTCACTGATGCAAGCACACGCATACACACACACCCAAGACTGACAAATGCAAGCCTCACTCATATTCCCACACTCACTGATGCAAACACACACACATACACACACCAATTGCTTCTCCTCACACACAAGTACTCGCACATACACTCATGCTTGGTTGCTTCACAGCTCCTTTCTTGCAGCAGATCCCAGACTAAATCAACACCTCTCCCACAACCCAGCCCTCCCAGGCAGCTGCCTGTCTCTCCTAGCACAGAAGAAATGGCCGTCTGTCCTCCTTGGAGACCCAACGCAGCCACCAACTTTTGGCTCCCAACCTGCGTGTCCCAATCTGTCATTAGCTCAGATTCCCTCAGCCACCAGAGCAAACGGCATCTGAAGGGGTGGGGTTTAATTGCAGAACAGAGAGGAAAGCACAGCAGATGCTGCAGCCAGGTGAGACTGATGGGCAGGTGGGGAGAAGAGGATATGAAGCATTTCCATTTGTAGGGGAGCTCTGTGTTGGACAGCAAGGTCACACAGCTAGTGCAAAGGGGAGACAGTCCCCCAGTGACCCCGGGGGATATTCTGCTCAGGTCCTAGTGATGCCACCAAGCAGTTGCTAAGTCCCCTGCAATGAGGTTATTGACACTTATGAAAATTGGGCCTCATTGTGCAAGGTGCTGTACAGAGAGACGGTGCCTGGACTGAACAAGTGGGAGGGGAAACTGAGGCACCAAAAGAGGAAGCGATTTGACCACCATCATACTTCAGAGCCAAGTGGAGAGCCTCGGCCTCCCAGCATCAGGCACTAAGCACTAGACCATATGACTTTTCCCAAAATGGAGGGGAAGTATTCCTTTCCATCTGCTTGGGCAGTCAGAGAGGGATCCAGCGCAGAAGAGCCAAGAGTAGGTCTCTGAGCCCAGAGGCTCAGTAAACCTCAACATAAAACCCACCTCTGTCATGCATCCCCACCAGCTGACGCTCTTGCCAGCAACATCTAAAAGCCCAAGTTTTCACCCAGCACTGCCCAGCCAATGCCTGAATCCAAAGCACATCAAACCACCCATCAGAGCCCTAGCCCAGCACAAGAACCCTCCAAACCCTGCTCGATGGAAATAGCAGAATGGACACAGATCAGGGCCCTTCTCACCAGCGAGGAGAAAACATCATTGGATCAGGCCGCAAATTAAAGAGGTGGCATCCCCTGGGCTTCAAAGAGACCACAAAAGCATGGCCCTCAGCTGGAGTGAGCTGCCACAGCTGTGTTGAAGATGGATCATATCCTTGATGGAACAAGGATCCTTGCGGGTAAAGGCAAAGAGCTGGCTTGAAGTAAGGTCAGAGGAAAGGCAGGAGACCTGACAATCCTTGGCTGTTAGGGTGGGCTCTTGGGGGGCTGTGGGAAGCTGGGAGCCCTCTTCGAGCACCTTGAGGCTACTATTATGCTGGGGAAGCAAGTAGGCCAGAGAGACTCCCAAAGGTTAACTTGAAAACCCATCTCTGTGGGACTTTCCTGGGCAGGGAAGAAGCACGCCTCCAGTAACAAATCATGCAGCCCCCTTAGCAAATCTGTGGAGCCTCCACTTCTCTCACTGTCACCATCCACGACTCCCTTCACTCAGATTGGGATGCAGATTCCTCCACTTATTTGGTGCACACCAAGAACATTCTCTGGTGCCAAGCACCTCCTGGATCTTCCAGGATTTCAAGTATTTGGATCTCGGACCATACGGACAGGAGAACACAGCACCAAATGTTGACGGTATGTTTAGGCCAAAACCAAGCTGTTTCATGCTGTGGGTGAAGTGAAATGTATGCCATGGAAATGAGGGTATGAGGTGGTCTTTCTGCAGCATCATGCACACAGGAGGCAAGTGGCTGCGTCCTTTGGGATCAGGATGGAAGTGGGTCCATCCTGCAGCCAATTCTGACCCTGTAACATCAGGGAATTCCACCCATTTACTTTCTGGAAGATCTGTGCCAGCATCCACGACAGCCTTTGGATTCTGCACTTCTCACTGCACCATCATTTAAAACCAGGGGGAAATGTGACCATGTCCAGGTTACACATGGCCTTGGCACTGGTGCAAACTCCATCACACAAGGCATGAGATCCTCACAAGATCCTGAGTGTACTCGGACCTCTTGGCACAACAGCGGCCAGGCAAAAGGATGCTGAATGGGCACAAACTATAGCTGCCCTCACTGTCAAACTCCTTTGCACTGTCAGGACGTGGCCTCAGCACCACTGAAAACAAAGCCCAACACAGCACGCTCTTGCCTTGCTTACAGCCTGAACCCCAAGTGGTACAATGATACCAGTACAGCAACACCAGTACAGTTCCCAGTACACCCCCTTAGTCCAAATGTAGTTCGATTGGGTTTATACAGGTTGAACTATTCTTATACAGGATTGGCATGGTATTGGTTAAAACCGTGATTCTCAACGAGGGTGTCCAGAACTTTGGGGTGCCACAAGATCCTTTTAAGGGTGCTGTAAAATATTAGCATGGTTAGGTATGCAACACCAACATGATTCCCAGGATAAACCCAGAGATTTCAAATAGGACTCCAGAGTGTCACAAGCAGTCTGCCCCAGTTTTGATCTTTCTGAGGTCTTTGCAATAAAAGAACAGCGCTAGGGTTTTTTTTTCCATAGTCAAAAAATAACTGAAAGTGGAGAGCTGGGATTTTTTGGAACAGGGCCTCAAGCCCCAAAAGGTGGAGAGCCACTGGGTTACAAAAAGAAAGCCCAGACCCTAAGCTGATGGCATGGTGCTGGTCTGAAAACTGCTTGCAGACATGGCTTGAGTGTAAATGAGAATCAGACCTTGAGATTTTTCTCAGCTGGACGATGAGGGGAAAAGCTCCTTAGCTGAGAGCCTGCTCTTGAAGACAGGCAGCTTCTGAGCCAGAAAGAAAGGCAGATTTAGGAGGAGGGATTTTTTTTTCCTCTCTCCCCCCAACAAAATCAAAGCGGGTGCGTGAAGCCCGCGGCTGCCGTAAGGCACCAGAAGGATTCAAAAGGCAGGAGTGACATGGGAGAACAGCGGGGGGAGAGCGTTGCTCCCGTGGTGCTTTGAAGAGGCTCAAGCATCCTCATGGCATGCAGCCCGAGTGGCATTGCTGTGCTTCTGCAGCATCGCTTGCCCCCTGCCACATCCTGGCCTCTGCTCCTACCCAGGGTCCTTCACCCCCTGCCGCCGCGAGCAGATAAACCGAATGACTCAAGGCTCCGGAGGCGTTCATTCCCTGCCTGCCAGCGATGTCAATAATTGCCCAGCCAGCCCTTGCGTTTATCTGGATCTGCCCGGGCGTAAAGCAAGCTGCCTACACAGAGAGCGACACACGCACCGCACTCCTCCAGGGAACATGGTGCAGGGGCAGCCAGCTCCTTTGTGCTCGGGAACACGTCATAGGTGGGGCAGGGCCTGGATTGACGGCTGAGATTCACTGTGATCTCGGCTGTGTGAACGCCCTATGCACATATTTGGCTTCCCTCTGTGTTGACTTGAAGCATGCCCCCAGCCCAACTCACTCTCATACTGGCCTGGGAGGGGAGTGAGGCTAAAACCCCTTGGGTGAACACAAGCCAGTGCCACCCAGTCCTTCAGCGCCTCCCCACAATTCCCCCGACATGTCCGAGAAGGACAGACACTTTCTCCCAGAAAGACTTCCCAGGCTCAGCTTTCTGCTGTGCTAAAGAAAACCAGGGGATGAGACCCCTTGGTAACAGGACAGCCAACCCTAGCTGAAAGAGGGTTATTCAGTCTACAGAAGAGAGGTCTGAGGAGGATTTGATAAGAGTCCTCAAATACCTAAAGGGTGATGACGGAGAGGACTGATGATCCCTCTAAGGTTTAGCGATCCATGAGCAATCCTGGCTGGGAGTGTGCAAGTATTTCAGTGTGCCCACTCCTCTACCCTCCTGCAGCAGCCTGTGGCCAGGTTGGGGTGGGTGGTGAGTGGCCAGATGCAAAGCTGGTGGCAGGGGGGAGCATAGGTGTCCCCTTCCTATGGCACTGCACATCCCCCCCAGGCCAGCACATGGGGCCACAGCCTCCCACCCCTGTCAGGACACCACTGTATGCATGGCATTAAAAAGTTATTGTGCGGCATGATTTTTTATTGTGCATGGCCGCGCATGCACACAGCTTAGAAGGAACTGTGGAGAGGACGGAGATGGACCTTCTTCTATGGCTGTAAGGGACAGGACTAGGAGCAATGGCCTCAAGCTGGACCCAATGATCTCACAAGGTCCCTTTCAGCTCCTAAATTTCTGTGAATCTGTATAGTGGAAGAAACTGGGGTTGGATATGAGGAGGAACCACTCCAAGGGTGGTCACACATTGAAACAGGCACCTAGAGAGGTGGTGGAATATACATTTCTGAGAATATTCAAGAGTAGGTTGGACAGACCCTTGGCTGGAAGGGTCTGCACTGATCCTGCCTTGAGCAGGGGGCCAGACTAGACATGACCTTGAGAAGTCCCTTCCTACCCAACTTTCCTATGACCCTAGCAACCCCTGGCACATCCCATCCCATCCCATTGGAGCTTCTGGCAAGTGCTTTCAGCCAGCCCATTGCAACCCCAGTCTTAGTGAGAGTGGAGCTACCCCCTACACGCATGCCAAGCCAAGAGGCACAGGCTGGGAGCAAGGACGGTGGGTCTCACCTCGATGATATCGGCATTGGTCCGGCTCTCGTGGGGTTCATTGTATTCGGTGTACTTGAGCAGCACCTTGTCCATGTCGGTGCTGGCATACTGGAACAGCTTGTTGGAGTGGTTGAAGATGATAAGGGCGATCTCGCAGTCACACAAGACGCTCAGCTCGTAGGCCTTCTTCATCAAGCCGAACTTCCGCTTGGTGAAAGTCACCTGCGGGTGGGAGAGAGGGGAGACACAGTGGTTAAAGACCTGAAGGGGAGGCTGGATCATCAAGTTGGGTGGGTGCCCTATGTCCCACAGTTTGAAAAATCTTGCCCTATCTCCTGATAGCCCTTCTTCGACTAAGCTGGACTGGAGGAGAGGTCTCCCGGTTGAACCGTCCTGGATGGAAAAAACATGCTAAGGGCAGGAGTATCTCTTGCGTGCAAAAGACCAGAAACTGGAAGAAGCTTAGGTGGTGCAGGGGCAGAGACAGGGAGCAAGAGATTTTGGGGAAGGTATATATGGCGGGGGGGGGGGGGGAGAAAAAAATCGGGGGAAGAGGAAG